GAGTGGTTCTTCAAAAATCAGTGGAACAGTCATAGAACAGCTTAAAATCCGTTAATTATCATGCAAATTAGGTAATTAATATTCATAGATTTTTACCCAAAACTAATAAAATCTGCGCACTAGTTCAGAGCATCCATGTGCCAAATTTCATCAAAATCCAATGAGTGGTTCTTCAGATATCAGTGGAACAGTCTTGGAACAGCTAAAAATCAGCTAATTATCATGCAAATTAGGTAATTAATATTCATAGATTTTTACCAAAACCTAATCAACTCTGCGCATTATCCCAGAGCATCTATGTACCAAGTTTCACAAAAATTTGATTAGTGGTTCTTGAGATAACGGTGGAAAAAAAAAGTGACATACATACATACATACATACATACATACATACAGACATGGTAACTGCAAAGACTCAAAAATGAACTTGACCAAATTATGAAATGTTTTTTTAGAAGCACATTTCCAATAGGAGCACATCATTAAAATATTATACATATTTTGACCATAAAAAACCTATATTCCACACAATGGCATTCAATTCTAATAGTGTGAATATGGCAGCGAACATTTCCATTTGCAAAAATTTAACAGTTTACAGAATTACAAACTGTATAGATGCATCGAAAATATTTTCAGCCATATTTGTATAATTTATGCAAAGCAACACGACAAATTGTTTTCATTGGATCCCATTACCTAAAATAGGTAAATATGAAATAAAGGTTATTGCTCACCATTGTTGCAGCAAACCGCAGTACTTTCAGATCATTCTCCAGCATCTTGATAAAATCTTTCTTAGGAGGTTGCGGAATGAGTGAAAGACAGGACTGTAAAGAATCTTCCAAAGAACCAAACCCGTTGTATGGTGGTAAATCAGATTTAGTCGGTGCGCGATTCTCTCCCTTAACGTCAATTGGAGTGAAATTAGTCATACCGTATTTTTGGTTTAGATATGCTTTGGTGAAATCATCGCAGTCATAGATGAGGAAACGTCGGTTGAAGATGTAAATTGTTGAACCAAGAGATAAATCTCGTGGAGTATACCAGTCTTTGATTTCGTGGTCTGATAATTCCATGACAACAGATGGGAAGGAAGCTGTGAAAACATCATAAATATTATCATAATTATAGTGAAAACTGAGTAGGAAAATGCACTGTACTGTATAAGCTATAGGCATATTAGTTATTACATTGCAGTGTTATTTCGATATTATTTCTAAGTTGGTAGTGATCTGATTTCCCTTGGCATGAGAGAATGTTATCATAGGATTGGAAGGGATATAGCGACAACCAGTCTCTGAACCTCTACCATTTATTAGCGTTATTTGTGCGGTTGAGGTTCCAGAATCATTCTCATTTTACACCCCAATCCGGGGATTTCTTCTTAAAACAATGTATTACTCAATAGTATAGTATAGTACCGTAAAATCTGTATTAGGAGCCGCATCCCTAATAGAAGTCGCACCCATTCTTTTTGAACAATTGAGAACCAGAAATTCATGATTTCTCATATGTGTAGATGCTCTAATAGAAGCTGCATCCCCTCTGTTGCATTGTACCATTTTAATAGAAGCTAAAGCTTTTAATACAGATTTAACAGTACTCATTTTATATAAGAATATTCTATCAAGCCAAAGTTCGGAAAATATGATAAATAGCCATGAAAACATAGCAAAAAGTAGATCCTCACTCAAGTATAATGGCATAAAAGAGGCCGTACCTGCACATTCTGTGGAACTTCTAGTGGGAGAAATGTGCGAATGCGAATGTTCAATGTAATTCTAACAAAATGATTCAAATAAATCATAGTTAAGTTTCTGGTTAAGTAATGTCATAGAGATCTGGTTGTCGTCTGTTTTTGAGAATCACGTTTAGTGGAGAATGAGCGACAATATTCACAAACATACTTACATTCTACATTGTATCTATCCTTTGGCAGTTTTTGTCTACGTAAGAGAAGCGGGAATGGATCACGGCCGTCATTAGGTCCATGCACTTCACGAACCTCCACTGTGTCATCAACTAGGTAGTATTGGAGAGTGTATGGACGGATTTCACCAAACATGCTATCACGGTCATCCCACACGCAGTAGAATCGTAACACTTTACGGTCTAGATCTATGAACTGCTTGAGCTTATCAAAGGATGACTTTGTTGTGTAGGTACGCAATGATGCAGCTTCTTTACGAGTCTCTATGTATGGATCGGAAGAGACTTGCTCTGGTTCATTCAGATCAATACCTTCACTTGCCATGAATTGCTGCAAAGAAAAAACAATTTGAACATAAAGATGAAACAATGTTACAATGAAAATATAAAGATATCCGGTCAAGCCACTACATTTCTGATGTGAAATGAAATGTTTAATTTTTTTACAATCAATCACAATTGTTACTAATTATGCTTGCTACTGACGTGACAATTATGGTAGAAAGTCTTGACAGTAGATTTAAGAAAACTGAAAAATGGTATGCTTTCCTTTATCAAATATGTGTAGTTTTTTTTCTCTAAGAGTAATCATTTCAAAATTTTTATTACCAGGTTTATTAGTTTATAAATTAGCCAGAGTACGAGTATAATGGATAATATTTAGTAATAATTGTCCTAAGTTATTATTCAAAATAGGTAGACATTTCAAGCAAAAGTTTAAATCATTTCTGAGTACTTAAAACTTACCTTTGAAAACTGGTCACAATCTATAACCCGGAATATTTTTCCATAAAAGGTGACATTTATTCCCAGATTGAAGTCTTTCCAGTGCCAGTGATCACCTTGATCATTCTTGGGCAAACGTTGGCGCTTGATTAGTTTACCTTGTGGCATACCACTGTTTTCAACGTGTGGTTCCACAACGGATATGCTGTCATCTTCCAGATAGTAGAAGATATTGACTGGACGGATGCGGTAATGTTCATTTGCAGATTCATGCACAGTCTGCTTGAAATATGCATGGAATTTAAGAACCTGCAAATCAAATCACAAATGTTACAGCAGTGCCGGGAATCCAAACTTAAGAATATCATGAGGCTAATGTACTCCATCCTGGGGAACACAGTTTTGCAAGGATTTTATTCACCTGCACCAATGGAATTATTCATATACATGTAGCATCTGATTGCAATGTGGACCATAACCTCATTTGTTGAGTCATAAAACAATACACTGTAAGTTTTAGGTGCAATGGCAGAACTTGTTTGTGCAAGAAAAATGGTAACCAAGACTGCTGTAAGACAAAACAACATACATGCATGCATGTTGGTCAAAGCTACACAGTATGTGAAAGTAAAATGTCATTACTATTTAAGAACCTACCTTCTTATCAAATGCAACATGAGCTGGAATGAAATCCTCTGGTGGTGCTTGCTTCGCTTGCCCGTAAGTCAGAGAAGGTTTTAGGTTTGCTAGTTCATCAAGTTCAGATTCACTGAGCTGGTTGACAGGAAGTGGAGTCCCGCCGATACCAACTTCTGGTCTGGTCGGCAGAGCATAGCCGTTTCTGTAACCGAGGCTATGTGATCTGTGATATTTTCCTTTCTGTAGATACAAAGGACAAACAGAAATTCAAAAATACAAATCGTGACAACATGTACTCAAGATATCATACAACAGTGGAACCGTTAACTTTGATTCTTCAGTCGTAATGTTTTATTTTTAAGAATTTACGTGACATAACACGTAGGGTTATAGTATCGAATCACTAAATGCAGCTACTATTGAATATTTTTTAAACTAAATATACATATTTTATATAGCTATGATTAGATACGTGTCTAAAGCGCTCAATAAATATGTACTTGCTCAAATACTTTTTTTTTTAAATCGAACAATCGTCATTATATTCAAAGTGACACCTCACTGCTCAACTCGTCTCCGTAGCAACGTTTTACTCTAACATCAACATTGTAAATTATGTAAAATAATACTTTTATTATTTTAGGGACTATAATATTGTTTTTGCAACGAATATGTGTAAAATACAGACCGCTGCAACGGAATTTTGAGGTAATGTTTATTTGTATCATTCAACATGGCTGCCCAGTGATGGACGCCACCCAGAATAAGTCACGAAAATCATGGAATTCGAGGCGAAATTTACAATTACTGCAATAGTGCTTAGATCCATGAATAAGCATAAATTCGGCAACATTTACTTATGAAACAAATACTTACTGTAGGATCGTTGAACGAATTCCCAGGTAGAAATGGCAGCGCCATGATTTCTAACTCCACGATTTTGATGCCACTGGAAAACACCGCTGCTGTTCTGTATCGTCGCTAAGTTGTGACGTCACTAAGCGTTGTCAAGTAAACAGTCGAGCGCCACCAACTTCATCTCCTAGTTTGATATAGCGCCCTCTTTGTCACATATCTTTTGTTTGTCGTCTCAAATTTTCGATTTAAATTATAATATGCAAAAGTTTTTACAATATATACGATAATTATTTTTAACATAGTTTACATACTGTAAAATGACTAATTTTCACTGGGTTTAAATTTCTCTGATTTACCATTTCAGGCATATTCAGTGGGTTTTAAATTCACGGTTTTACCATTTAGATAACTAAATTTTACATATTCACTGTGTTTTAATTTAGCGCATTTTCCAGTCAGTGAAATAAGCAAAATTAAAACCCAGTATTTCATACTGCCCTCACAGCAACCCCATTCACAATTCAAATTGAAATGAGAGAATTCTATTGGCTGATGAAAAACCATTGGAACATTTTCAGATGTCATTGCACACTGCACTAATTGATTGGATGGTTGGATTCAACAGCCATTGAAATTTATAAATATTTATAAAAATGTGGGCCATGGGTTTGTTGTATTAATAATAGTTCACAAATTTAATATTTCAGGTCAGCAATGTCCATTTGATTGTTTTTCAGTTCACTATCTAGTCTAAAAGCAAGGTTTGTTTCTAGTTTGTTGTATTACTATGCATAAGCATTAACCTATTTATTAATTATTCATTTACAGTTGAAACTTTTTTTTTCTGTGTGCGAAAAAAGTGGAAAAAGGGGTCTGTATATGTGTATTGCTATGTTCACGTTATTGGCTCTCGGCACGTGCCAACATTTTTAATCATTCGTGTTTGCAGAGGGATTACAGCAGTTGCATTCACGATAGTCGGGACCCACTCGGCTAGCGATAAATTACGCCTTCATTTGTCATCTGCTATTTGCAAACGATATGCATATG